ACCTGAAAAGAAAGTTGTCATTCTTGATAACTAAAGTTGTCATCCTCGTGTGACTAAATTTATCTTAAAAAACATTCGGAATTACCATGTGTTCGTGTCACACGTGTAAAACTTGTCACGGTCCGAAGTTAGAGAAGAGAAGACCTCACGCGCATGATGATACGGAGCTTCAAGACCTCACACTTATTTAGAGAAAAACAAGTGTAGAACCATGCAATCAGAATAACTCAGACGCTGCATTTTGTCTGCGAAATGCTTCACATTTGAAACAAATATAATGACATATTTTGGTTTGAATCAATCATCCCGTGTACAGCCTCAGCTTGGAGCGTATTGTCTCTCGGCATATCGGGCATCTGTCGAGGTTCTCCCCACACTCCCTGCAACACTGTCATTCGCACACAAACAATCAAAAATATGTAAATACATGCATTTCCATTAATTTGCTTAGATGGTTACATTGGAGGCTCCGGTAAAAGCAAAAATAAATTCCAATATCTTACCATGTGGCCGCAGCCAAATGCTAGATCCTTGGCATTGGTCAAGCAGATTGGGCACACCTGCATGGACATTGATTTATCAGTCAGTTTGTTCAAGAAGGCGGCATGAAGCCATGCATGATCATCACAAGAGATACAGAAGTTGGGAGTTCCGAGCAGTTTGCTGAACCTGATCCTCTCTTGGCTCCGCCGCCGCGGCGTTCGCGCCGCTAGCCTCCCGCCTGAACGACGACGGCTGCCTCTGCGCAGACCCCGGCAGCGGAGGCGGGGCCGGGACGACCCTCTTGGCCTTCCCCGTGGACCGGCCTAGGATGCCGAGCTCCATGGTGGCCTTGTACTGGATGGGCACCTCCATGAGCGCCGCCAGCGCGAACGCCGACTCCTTCTGCTGCAGCGTCGCGTTCCTCGACATGATGGACGTGAAGTTCACAAACTGCGCACCATTGTTGATCAATAACATGTGAGTAGAGCTGCCTTGTAATTCGTCTTGGGACGAAGAGAGCTACAACTCCCTCGGTCTCTGTTTTCGAAGATGCAGAAACGAATTTCAGTGTTGACCTGGAAGTTGTCGAAGGCGCGCGCGGGGAGCTTGTCGTCGAACTTCTGCATGTCCTCCCATGGGCCATCCCCGACCCCGACCAGCACGATGGACAAGGGATACGAACTGCAGACAGAGTCAAGCTTTTGTGTCAGGTTTAATTATTCTCAAATCGCGAACCTCCCTTAAACCGTGCGTGCGCCCCAAACTGTCGATGATCACCTGGCCATGACAATGGAGTCCACGGTTCTTCTCTCCTGCGGGCTCAGATCGCCATCACTGGTATCCACACTCCTAGTGACCTGCGACGCGCTGATGAAGTTGTTAAGACGAATCAAGACGCACTTGTTGCTGCATAGCATGGGCTTTTTGATTCAGTTCAGGGACCTGGCCGTCGGCGACGATGACGAGGACATGGTACTGGCCTCCGGTCCTGTCCACGATGTCGACGGCGGCCTCCACGATCGGCGCGAAGGACGTCGGCCCTGAGCATAGACAATCGCGCATTGTTCATTCACCAATCGTCTTAACCAAGGAAGATATCCAGAGCTTGTGACGGACCCACACCTGATAGCCTGAGGTGCGGCACGACGTTCCGGTAGCAGGCCAGCACCTCCTCGAAGCCGTGGCACGGCGAGTTGTCCGGGTGGAAGCTGAAGACGTTGTAGTCGTGCGTGGTCGCTGCAAACAAGAAGAGCACAAGATGTAAATGGAACGGAGCTCCTTGTCGTCGTTGGGTGCAAGGAGTAAAAACAGGGGCTCACCGTCGCCGAAGCCGAAGCAGGGGATGAGGTTGTCCTCGTCGAAGGGAGCGAGCGTCTTGCCGATGATGCTGATGGCCGCCTCGTAAGGGTTGGGCGCGTCGCCCAGCTTGTGCAGGCTCTGTCCGTTGAACGACCGCTTCCCTGTCCATTCGTTGCTCTTGGTGAAGTCCACCCCGAGGATGAGGTTGGACGACTCGAGGCCCTGATCGCGCAGCGCCGAAGCCACCTGAGAAATCAAAGCTAACCAAGTCAGGCAGGCGAGCAGGCAGGAGATGAAGATGAAGCGAGGAACAATCATGTGAGATGAAGATGGCCCGTCATCAATCACCTGGTCGAGAGAGGTGAAGGTGTCCGGTATGTACGAGTACTTCTTGGACAGCATCCCCCTCCGCCGCTGCTCGCCGCCTCCGCCGCCTCCACGGCCGTGTCCCGACGGCTCACCGCTCCTCGACATCGTCATCCTCCTCGCCTCGGCCGCTCTCCGCCGGTGGCCGCCGAACAGCGCGCTCAACACCCCGCCCATTCTTTCTCGGAAGCGATCGCGATCGACGACAGGGGACGGCCGCTAGAAATACCATGCGAGGAGGACACGGCCTCCTCCTCCTCCTCTCGTTCTTTCTCCGAAGTTGCAGCAAAGATCACACGGAGAAGCAAGGCACGGCCATGGAACTGGACCAAGATTGTTGTATCATGTATGATGATGCGTCAAGCAAGGCAAGGATTTTGCAGCGAAGCTTCTTGCGACCTTCGTGGATCGAAGCTCTTTATTCCGTGTCAGAAACGGCCGTGATCCTTGAGGAACTTGTCGCTAAATGTTCGGTTTCTTTCTGGTAATTCGCTGCTACGCTTTGCGAGTGAGTGCTAAAGTAGCGGATTCCTGCGTGTCAGCGTGTTTCTTTTTTGCGATGTCTAGTCAGGAAGGAAGACAACCTGGTAGACGGCGAATCTTTGTGGTCCGAAAATAGTGCAGACAAGCTCATCGTCATTCTAAAGATGTGTTTGGATCATGTCGAGCAAAATGAAAGTCTATTAGGCTGGTCATGGTGGGAGTAAGTTAGACTAGTAACATACATATGTTACTAGTCTATGTTACCACCTTTATAGTGGGGAGTAACATGTATGTAGTATCATGCAAGTCATCATTTATTAAGATATAGACTCATTTTGCCTTCAGATGTGTTATGTTATAGTAACATATTATGTTACTCCAATCATCTCTCTCCTCATTAAATACATGCCATGTAAGCAATTTTTTTTGAGATGTGTTATATTACTTGCTATGTTACTTCCATTATGAGCAGCCTTATAGTTACGGCATCTCCAACACTAGCCTCAAACCGCTCGTAATCGTTCGGACCGCACGATCTGAATGTGTTTTGCCTTCCAGCATGGTCTTATATCAGCAGTGGCGGAGCTAGCACGGGATCATTGGAGGGGCCAATGGCAAAATATGGGTTTATGAAGAGGCAAAACTCCCTATTTTTCCCAATCTGTGCCATCACAAAAAAAAATCTTCACAGAAGATCCCAGGCTTGGGGGGGCCACAGCCCCCCATCCATACACATAGCTCCGCCAGTGTATATCAGTCCGGACGTCCATTTTTCGTAAACCGAAAGCAAACCAGGGGCAGGGCTTTACGGGCGTCCAGACCGCCGCCACGCAAGCGTCCGACAACCCTGGTGTTGGGGAACGTAGCAGAAATTCAAAATTTTCCTACGTGTCACCAAGATCTATCTATGGAGAAACCAGCAACGAGGGGAAGGAGAGTGCATCTACATACCCTTGTAGATCGCTAAGCGGAAGCGTTCAAGAGAACGGGGTTGAAGGAGTCGTACTCATCGTGATCCAAATCACCGGAGATCCTAGTGCCGAACGGACGGCACCTCCGCGTTCAACACACGTACAGCCCGGTGACGTCTCCCACGCCTTGATCCAGCAAGGAGAGAGCGAGAGGTTGAGGAAGACTCCATCCAACAGCAGCACGACGGTGTGGTGGTGGTGGAGGAGCGTGGCAACCCTGCAGGGCTTCGCCAAGCACCTACGGGAGAGGAGGAGGTGTCACAGGAGGGAGGGAGGCGCCAGGGCTTCTGGTATGGATGCCCTCCCTCCCCTCCACTATATATAGGGGCAAGGGAGAGGGGGGAGGCGCAGCCTTGCCCCTTCCTCCAAGGAAGGGGTGCGGCCAAGGGGGGGAGGAGTGCCTCCCAAGTCAAGTGGAGGCCCTCCCCCTTAGGGTTTCCCCCCTCCCATGCGCATGGGCCTTGGGAGGCTGGTGCCCCTGGCCCATTAAGGCTAGGGCGCCCCCTTACAGCCCATGCTGCTGTATTGGACGTGGTGGAACAGTTTCCGGACCTCCGGACCCCTCCGGAATCCTCCGGAACCTTCTGGAAGCTTCCCGGTACAATACCGAAAAACCTGAACTTTTTCCGGAACCCGAACAACAACTTTCCATATATAAATCTTTACCTCCGGACCATTCCGGAACTCCTCGTGACGTCCGGGATCTCATCCAGGACTCCGAACAACATTCGGTAACCACATACAAACTTCCTTTATAACCCTAGCGTCATCGAACCTTAAGTGTGTAGACCCTACGGGTTCGGGAGACATGCAGACATGACCGAGACGTTCTCCGGTCAATAAGCAACAGCGGGATCTGGATATCCATGTTGGCTCCCACATGTTCCACGATGATCTCATCAGATGAACCACGATGTCAAGGACTCAATCGATCCCGTATTCAATTCCCTTTATCTAGCGGTATTGTACTTGCCCGAGATTCGATCGTCGGTATACCGATACCTTGTTCAATCTCGTTACCGGCAAGTCTCTTTACTCGTTCCGTAACACATCATCCCGTGATCAACCCCTTGGTCACATTGTGCACATTATGATGATGTCCTATCGAGTGGGCCCAGAGATACCTCTCCGTTTACACGGAGTGACAAATCCCAGTCTCGATTCGTGCCAACCCAACAGACACTTTCGGAGATACCTGTAGTGCACCTTTATAGCCACCCAGTTACGTTGTGACGTTTGGTACACCCAAAGCATTCCTACGGTATCCGGGAGTTGCACAATCTCATGGTCTAAGGAAAAGATACTTGACATTAGAAAAGCTTTAGCATACGAACTACACGATCTTTGTGCTAGGCTTAGGATTGGGTCTTGTCCATCACATCATTCTCCTAATGACGTGATCCTGTTATCAACGACATCCAATGTCCATGGTCAGGAAACCGTAACCATCTATTGATCAACGAGCTAGTCAACTAGAGGCTTACTAGGGACATGGTGTTGTCTATATATCCACACATGTATCTGAGTTTCCTATCAATACAATTATAGCATGGACAATAAACGATTATCATGAACAAGGAAATATAATAATAACCAATTTATTATTGCCTCTAGGGCATATTTCCAACACCTGGCCCACCCAAATCATCTCCCTCGACCAAAGCCAGTTGCCCGCATTCATGTCGCTCTAGAGCAGCTGCTTCGCGTTGACACCGGCCTAGAGCAGACATGACCTCTCACTGGCACCGGTACTGAAGCAGCTCCCCGGCCAAGGGCATCACCCATGCCGCGTCTCCAGTATCCGCGCATGTTCAATGCTGGAGAGATGTTTACTGGACAGGATGGGACGGATATCAACCATGCATGTTCAATGCCCGTCCGTCCATCTGCCGCCATTAAACGGGCTCGTCGACCAAGAAACCAACTCCAGCACCCACGCATCGATGCGCCCGGACGCTTGGGCTCACTGGCATCCATTATTTAAACGCGATCACACCTGGCTCGCACCACACCACAACCCATATGCTCCACATCGTTCTCCCATGCACCACATCCGCCATGACCGCGATCGGAAACACGTTTTGGGAGAGTCTCTTGATGGAGCAGAAGCACGAGGTGGCCGCCCTTGCGACCGTGAAAGGATCGAGGAGAGGGGTCTGGGGGGGTGATTAGACCCTTCACAAGTAAAAGTGACAGTTTTTAAGTTCTTCAAGTTAAGGTGGAGTTTTAGCACAAGTTTAAGCATTCACAATACATTTCAAGCAAGCATGACAAGAGTATATGCAGCGTAAAAGATAAAGCATGCTAATTGCAAGAAAGTAAAGGGATGAGATTGGAGTGTGCAAATGCAATGAAGACACGGAGATTTTTGGCGTGGTTCCGATAGGTGATGCTATCGTACATCCACGTTGATGGGGACTTCAACCCACGAAGGGTAACGGTTGCGCGAGTCCACAGAGGGCTCCACCCATGAAGGGTCCACGAAGAAGCAACCTTGTCTATCCCACCATGGCCATCGCCTTCGAAGGACTTGTCTCACTCGGGTAGATCTTCACGAAGTAGGCGATATCATTGCCCTTACAAACTTCTTGGTTCAACTCCACAACTTGACGGAGGCTCCCAAGCGACACCTAACCAATCTAGGAAACACCACTCTCCAAAGGGTAATAGCTGGTGTGTTGATGATGAACTCCTTGCTCTTGTGCTTCAAATGATAGTCTCCCCAACACTCAACTCTCTCTCACAAATTTGGATATGGTGGAAAGATGATTTGAGTGGAAAGCAACTTGGGGAAGGCTAGAAATCAAGATTCTTGTGGTAGGATTGGTATATCTTGATCTCAACACATGAGTAGGTGGTTCTCTCCTAGAAAATGAGTAGTGGAAGTGTAGGCACGTTCTGATGGCTCTCTCACATATGAAGAAGGGGGTGGAGGGGTATATATAGCTGATACGTCCATTTTGCATCATGCTTTTATATCAATATTTATTGTATTATGGGATGTTATTACATGTTATGTCACAATACTTATGTCTATTCTCTCTTATTTTACAAGTTTTACATGAAGAGGGAGAATGCCGGTAGCTGGGATTCTGGGCTGAAAAAGGAGCAAATATTAGAGACCTATTCTGCACAACTCCAAAAGTCCTGAAACTCCATGAAAGTTATTTTTGAAATTAATAAAAAATACTGGGCGAAGAAAGTACCAGAGGGGGCCCATACCCTATCCACGAGGGTGGGGGCGCGCCCCCCATGCCTCGTGGGCCCCCTGGCAGCCCTCCGGTGACCATCTTCTGCTATATGAAGTCTTTTACACTGGAAAAAATCATAGGCAAGCTTTCGGGAAGAAACACCGCCGCCACGAGGCGGAACCAATCTAGGGCTCTGGCGGAGCTGTTCTGCCAGGGAAACATCCCTCCGGGAGGGGGAAATCATCACCATCGTCATCACCATCGATCCTCTCATCGGGAGGGGGTCAATCTCCATCAACATCTTCACCAGCACCATCTCCCCTCAAACCCTAGTTCATCTCTTGTATCCAATTTTTGTCCCAAAATCTCATATTGGTACCTGTGGGTTGCTAGTAGTGTTGATTACTCCTTGTAGTTGATGCTAGTTGGTTTATTCGGTGGAAGATCGTATGTTCAGATCCTTTATGCATATTAACCCCTCTGATTATGAACATGAATATGATTTGTGAGTAGTTACGTTTGTTTTTGAGGA